AAGAGTGTACAGACGGTTGCTGTTCTGACATCTGCATCATCGTTCACACGGCCACACGCTGGGGATTGGCAAGTGCCCACTCCTCTGTCCTGTGCACGCACCACGCCTCTGTACCCACCACAGCGCCCTCGTCCTTAGCGCGGACAGCTCCAAAGTCCCCGCTCAGCAGTGAAGGACGGCTGTGCTGGCAGTTGGCTGACAAGGCCGGCCCTCGGGGCCTCCAGCTCCCATCCCCGCGCCGAGGGTGGGCTGCAGTCTGCCCAGGGCTGGCTGGCCACTGCTGGGATCTGCTTCCCACGTGGCACCTCTTGTGTGGTTAGGGCCCAGGTGTGGGATGGCGCTATGTTTGTCTGCGCCCCGCTTGGTCAAGAGCTTCTTGGCAACCATTAGGGAAAGGCCCCAGTACCTCCTCGGCCTCTTTTCCAGCCCAGCACATCTGCTGGGCCTCCTTCCAGCCCTGGAGGGCACAGATCTCTGCCCCTGGGGCTGTGGGGGGGCTCATTCAGGGAAAGGGGCAGGAAGGAGACAGTGTGGGGCAGTGACTGGCTGGCCCATGGTCCCTCAGACACGGGTCACTGGACCAGCTCTGTTTCCAGCCCCAAAGTAGCCAAATCATTCAATGCAAATGAGGCCTGGACATTTGGGTTGACCTTGGCTTAGGAGCTCGTGTGCCCGCAAGTGGGGCTGTGCTTGCCGTCGGCCGCCAGAGGCGGGCCAGTCAGGCAGGGGCCACCGTGCGTGCCGTCAGTTTGGTCGTGAGTTTCAGCGCAGGCAGCGTTTTGGGTATTTCACGTGGTAAGTGCAGATCCTTTGGAAACTGTTTTCCAGAGTCTGCAGGGGAGGGGGAAGGGGGGTCTTGGCATGTGGTGAGCGGGCGTCTGTGCGGGTCTGTCCCGGCGTCCCACTGCAGCACACACGCCCAGCTGCTGGGTTCCCGCGAAACTGCCTGCAGACCCCCGACCCCCCCTGCCCCAGAGCTGCTGTTTCCTTCCTGCCCTTTCCTGCTGCAACAGTTTGGGGCCTCCTGGGGTGTGGGGGTTGCCGCCAGCCCCCACCGGGCCCCACCGGGCCCCACCGGGCCCCACCGGGCCAGGGCATGAGTGATAGAATTGGGTCATGTGTTTGATGCGTGGGGCTGTAAGGGCACTTTAACAAGGAGTCAGTGAGCGCTGTCCCTCACCCTCTCTGGGCTCCCGTGTCTCCTCCTGCCTTTTCCCACGAGAAGTCTGCTAGAACGTGTGTAGAACATGTATGAGTGCAGGGAAGGGCCCAGAACCTGCAGTCTCCCACCCGTCACCTCAGTGGCCTGGAGATGGGCGCACACGGGCCTGATGGCTGTGCCTGCTGAGTTTACGTTTGTTGGAAGTTAACGCTGTGAACGTGAAGTGTGGAGGCGTTCCCTTAGAATCCATTCCAGGGGACTCACTCAAGTGTGATTGTGCTTCCCTTGATTGCCACGAAATAGTCAGTTCTTAACAGGGGCCCGGAGCCCAGCTCTGGCCACAGGGGCCCTGGAGACAGCCTGTGTGCTCGGGACATGGGGGGAGTCGGTGAGTGAGTTCTTTCAGCCACGGGTGAGTCTGTATGTGCGTGCAGGTGTGTAGTTCTGAGTGTGTCTCAACACGCAAACCCACAAGACCACCAAGAATGGGCATGTAGGTTCTTTGTAGAAGTTGGCATTTTTTACATGTGTCCATGGAGTCGGCTGCGTGGCGGAGGCCTCTAGGAGCGGCGTCATCACTTACTAAATTCCTGTTGAGGAAGGTCCACCTGGTCAGCTCTCTGCATGAGGAGTCGGGACTTTGTCAGGTTCCTAGAAGCAGTAATCGTATCCTCAATCCAAATTTTGTTGAAAATACTAATTTGGCAGGTGTGTGTGTGGGGGGGGGTTGTTTTTGTTTTCCTGCTGAAATTATCAGGATGGACTTGAACGAAACCAGGGCAGAATTGTTTGGCAGTGCACTTAAGCGTGTCTTCTCCAGAAACGTGCCTCCCTCCCCCGCCGCCCCGCCGAGGCGGCCAGGGCCCTCCTGCCCTTCCACGTTTTGTCAGCAAATGGATCCTTCGCGGAGGATGAACGAGGCTGAGCCCTCCAGACACCCAAATGCAGCATCACAAGGCCTTGCCTCTTCAAGGACCCCCGCCGTGCCCAGGCACCCCTCCATTGCCGGCTGTCACTTCCAAGGCCCCAGGGCCGGGGGTGGCTCCTCCCGGGGAGCCGCACCGAGCCCTGTTGCTGGCTCCGTCGGAACGGACTCTGAACGGTGGTGACTGCTCTTGGCCACCTTGCAGGGAGCGCTTCCTTCTACTGCAGCGGCTGCAGGGGGCTCTGGGATGGGGGGAGTGGAATCCATTTCCTCTCGATACTGTGAGCGTCCTTGCTTTCGTTTTTGTCCTTCCCTCTCCGGTGAGTCCTCGAAGCCATGGCTACCAACCCGGGGGACAGTGGGGTGGTTCTGTCTGTGGGGCGACCGGCAGGGGCGGGGCAGCGGTGTGAGAGCCGCCCAGCCTTGCTGGCGAGCTCAGGAGGGCTCTGCTGGTGCTGCCGGCCCGGCATGGCTTCCGCGGGGAGCGGCCCGCTCAGGCAGTAGTCATCAGTGAAGGTGGCCTGAAAGGGTCGGGGGTCCCTTTTCCCTATGCACCTGTCACTTTTAATGGAGTCGAAGGAACCCCCCTCCCCTCAAGTGCTTCTGGGAGCACCTGGCCCTGAACAGTCACTGCCGTTTCCCGGTGCAAACTGGGTGCCGACCACCGGCGCTGCAGGACCGTGGCCTCGTGCTCATGGGTGTGAGCTCGTGACACACCGCCACCGCCATCCCCGCACACTGGGGGCCAGCAAGGCTGTGAGGGGCACGTCCCGGAGCCCTGGCCCGGACCTGACCGTCCGCTCCCAAGAGGAGAGGGAAGGACTGACAAGTGGCGTGTATTTCCGTTTTTTAAACTACTGCGAACATTGTGTATCTGAATTAAAGGGAATGACACCACACGCTGCTGTACGAGGCGTGCTTGCTTGTGGGGAGCCTCTCCGTGGAGAGGGGTGGCTGGGTGCGCCCCAGGGGGCCCCCACAGACCTGAGCTGCTGGGGTGCCATGGTTCCGGGACCCTGGAGGGTGGTGTGGGCAGCACAGGCCCTGAGTGCTTGTAGGGCCGTGATGCAGGCTCCCGGGCTCCTGGCCCACCCGTTTGGGTGTGTATAGTGTTCCTGCTTCAAGTACTTGCCGTCCCCCAAGTCATGCCTACTCCATGGAATGGGGCACCATTCTCCTGAGCCCTGGTTGGGTCCCTCCTTGGGAGCCATGGCAGTCGATGTCTCGTAATGTTGGGGTACAGGGGTCTCACCCAGCAGCCTGCACAGACAGCCCCCCCCAGGGTGCCGTGGGTTCCTGTCGGGCGGGGTGGCCTGCCCGGTCCCCCCGCAGGCGGCCCCAGAGCCCATGCCATGGTGGTGGGGGGGAGGGCGGCCAGACAGGTGAACATGGGCAACCTGGCCCCTGCCCTGGGCTATAGCGGTGTGCCCAGGCACACGGGCTTCCCGAGTTCTGCGGCAGCTCTGTGCACCTGCCATCGGGGGCCACGGGACCCTTTGTCCCTGCACAGGGGCGGGGACCGAGTCTTTGGCTGCTGGGGCTCCATCACACTTGATGGGGGTGACTTCATCCCCCCAAACTTGTCTCCTCTGTGATGCAATTCCAGGGCCTCCGATGGTACCTCGGAGAGACCAAGGCTGTGTCCCCCTTCCTGGTCCAAGCACAGACAGCCAGCCCCTGCCTGGCTCACCTGAGCACACTCAGCCTACCTGTTCCTTCCAGAACGAAAACGGCCCAGAGTCCCAAGTGTGAGTGGGCTCTGCGGCTGCATGTCCCCGCTCGCCCTCCCACCGCTGTGGCAGGGGACCCTCAGTAGAGGGTGAGACCCTGCTTTTCTTCAGAAGCCTCTGAAGACCTCCTAAGTGGTGTTGGGGGCTGTGCCTTGCCCCCGAGGAAGCCTGGCATTGTCAGAGCACCACTGGGTAAAGCGTTCTGCTGGTGCCCGTGGGTAGAGGTGGGCCTGCTTGGTGGTGTCCCCCAGACTCGGAAGCCGTGAGCATCTCCTGCAGTTCCCCCCAATTTGGGGGCCTTACCAGCCCGGCCCCTGCACCTGGCTGCATGGCACTTCCCACCAGCCTCCCAAGCAGGAGACCCGGAGGCTGCCGGTGGCCATGTGCTCTAGAGGCCCTGGAGCCCACAGGCCCAAGGGTCTCTGAGGGTGTGGGTGGGCCCCGTGGGGCCACCGGGGGTTGGGGCCTGCCCACGGGGGCAGAGGCTGCAAGTTACAGGTCTGGGCTCCCCACGGACGTAGGGACAAGGGCAGTGGTGTCAGCATGGTGAGCTGGGCCCCACAGCCCCTACGGCCTGCGCGATGTTGGGCCACTTAGGCTCCTTCCGCTGTGACCCTGCCACGCTCCACGTGCCTCCCTGCCTGCGTCCAGGCCGAGCATTTTTTTTTTTTAATGTTTATTTCTTGGAGAGAGAGAGAGAGAGCGTGAGCAGGGAAGGGTCAGAGAGAGAGGGAGTCACAGACTGAAACAGGCTCCAGGCTCTGAGCTGGCAGTCCGCGCAGAGCCCGACGCGGGGCTCGAACCCACGAACCGCGAGTATATGACCTAAGCGAAAAGTCGGACGCTTAACCGACTAAGCCACCCAGGCACCCCAAGGCCGAGCATTTCCACTGCTCAACTTGTCCACCACAATGATAGGCTCTGCTCACTGGTGCCTGCCCTTGGAAGGTTCCAGAGGCCCCTCATGGGGATCCCCTCCCCCCACCTGGCAGGGCCAGCGCACCTAAGTATCTCAGACCAGCGTTAGTTCCTGGGGGGACAGGTCTGCAGCTTGTGGCCACACAGGTGTCCCCTGGCCTCCTGCTGGGGCTTAACTCCCCCTTCTCCCTGCAGGTGCCACTGGATTCCCAGCCCCCGGCCCTCTGCCTCCCCATCCCACAGACCCTGAGGGTCCCCGCAGGCCATGCAGCTGTGCCAAGGTATGGAGCCCCTTCCCAGCAAGGGCAGACCGGGCCCTCCCGCCCAGCTGCTCGTCCCAGGAGGCCCAACATCAGGGCCCTGCTTCCGGAAGCTCTGTGGGTCTCCAGTGCCCACTGGCCCTGAGAAGACATTAGGGGGCCAGCCTTTTACCCAGACTTCCCTGGACATGCCGGCTAGAGGGGAAGCAAGAGGTGTTCACACCTCCTCCGGGGCCAGTTTGCTGGGGCCCCGAGCACAGGCTGGTGGCCGCAGGCCAGCAGCTCCCCCTGGAGGCCGGGACCCCCTCTAGCCTGGTGGTTCCCAGCGAGGGGACCTGGGCAGCCGCTCTTCCTGACGAGTGGTCACCATCGCCGCCAGTCTCCGCGCTCTCCAGAAGCTCCACGCCACGCTCTGGGTGGGAGCATTCTCCAGGCACATGGCGCTTTTCCTCGGCTACGTCCTGTGTGGCCTGCGGAGGGCCAGAGGTGAAGGGGTGACCGCTGCCCTTTACCTCTCCCTTGGGCCTCCCCCCATATGCTGGGAAGTGCTGGGGGCAGCCCCGCTCAGCCCTTGGAGCGGCGGCCACAGAAGGGCTCTCCAGTGGGGCTGAAGAGCCGGCACTAGGGCCCTGGGTCAGGTCCTTTGCCTGAGGCCTGTGGACTTTCTGGGGGACCTTTCAGTCACTCACTCACTCTACAAACGTCCAGACCGCTATGTGCCTGGCGCCCAGGCCTGAAGCAAGAACCCCAGAAGGGGCAAGGGGCCCCCGAGCGCCCACATGCACCCCTGCTGCCCTCCACCGGGGGGCCTAGGCGGAGATGCAGGGACGTCTCCACACCCCCACACTCCAGGCTTAGCTCTTACGCTCTGGGCTAGCTCGGGTCGAGCCTCTTCTCTCCCCGGTCAGGTCAGAGGAGGACCCTTTGTTAGCCGTGGTGGTTTTCAGCCTGAACTTCTTGAGTCCCTGCCCCGGTTCAGGCCACCGCCAGAGCCCCACAAAGGCCAGGCAGGCTCACTGACGGCCCGTGGGTGCCGGAGCCTGGCTGGGCATCGGCCTAACGGGCAGGTGGGGCTGAGGCCTGTCCAGCAGGTGCAATGGGCTCTTAGTAACAAACCACGTGAGCTTTACCTTTGCATTTTGAACGTTGACGCCTTCAGTGGTGCATTCTCTCCATAGTTCTCCGTGGCCCTGGTCTCCTGCCCTGGCTGGCCCTCCTGCAGACCTCCGCCGGCCAGCCCCAGGGGGTGCTGGAGCCCACCCCCAGCCTGGCTCTCGCACCCACGTTTCTCACCACCTTTCTTACCACCCCCCCGGGACCGTCACTCTGTCACTGCCCGGTCCCCTGTGTGCTCCAGCCCTTCTCTCCTCCGGTGCCCCCGCCTCCCGCTGAGCCAGGCCCATTCCCCTCGTGTCCGGGTGCAGAGCTCGCCCGTGTCCTGCAGCACCTTCCAGCCCTGCTGGCCGTCCATGGCCCTGGCCCTTGAGACCTTGGGATGGAAGAGCCGAGTCCAGCCCTGGCAAAGACCCGCCGAGAGAGCGCGAGGGCCCCACAGCCAAGGACCCCAGCCACTGCCGGCAGCCACTTTGCCCAGGGTCAGCATTGGGGGCCCCCCAGGAGACCCCAGGAAACAGGAGGGAGCATTCTCCAGGCACACAGCAGTTTGCAGGGGCATGTGTGCTCCGCCGAGGACCGTAGGCACAGGAGGGTGGCCGGCCAGTGCTCCTCCCAGAGAAAACACAGCACAGGGTCACACTCGGCTTCCAGCTGCTGACTTTCAAAGCCTGGCCCAGCCCCTTGCCCACAGGGTGACCTCGCCTCTCCACCCCTTGACCTTTTCCTTTATAAAATGGGAGTAACAGTGCCAGCTTCTTTTTTAAAAGTTCCATGAAGATCAAAGTAGAGATCGCTTGTATATAGTCCTTAAAACAGTGCCTGGCTTTCCGAGAACACTCAAATTCTTATTCTTTCACTTTTGCCAGTGTTCTTAACCCAGGGTCACACAGGTCCAATAGACATGAGGGAAAGAGAGAAGGACCAGAGTGGAGTAGGAAGACTTCAGAGAGGAGGTGATGTCAGAGTAGGGCTTTGAAGAGTGAACAGGAGTTTGCCAGTAAGTCCAAAGGCAAAGTCTAGGTGATTGGTCTCCTCATTTGTTCGTTTCTTTACTCAGCAGGCCTTTACCAAACCCTTTCCTGTGGGGTTCTGGGGATACAAAGAGCACCCCACCAGCCAAGTGCTGAGCAGGGTGGTTCGGGCTGTGGGGGGGCTGCCCAGGGTGGGAGGGACACACACACTGCCCACACGCAGCCCGGTGCCCTCTGGCCTCAGCCCACATCAGCCAGGTCGCCATCCAGCCCCGCCTCGAAGGAGGGAGACAGGCGGTCAGATGGGGGCAGAGCGCGACTCCTGCCCAGCCTGGTACTGATACGTTTACGTTTCTCCTCGTAAAACGTGAGCGTGTTGGCCAGGGGACCCTGTGTGGAGCACGTGACGGGGAGGCGAGTGTCATCGTGCCTGCCGCTGCTGCGGGTCCTCGAGGACGCCTGCTCCGTAGCGTGTCCCCTCTGCGTGCACCTCTGCACCCCACCCCCCTCCCGTGTCCCTGGGCCCTCGTTTTGTCCCACACTGACTCCCTGTCTCGGGCTCTCCCGGGGGCCCCCCAGCCCGGGTGCATGGGGCGGGGCAGAGGCAGGGACCGAGGCCTGGACCCCATGCCTGGGGAGTGCGGTCGCCCCGTCAGCCCGCCGCACACCGGGCTCCCGCCAGCGGGGTCTGCTGGCCTGGCCGGGGCGGGAGGCACGGCCGGCGCCCGCGGCCGCCAGGTTTGGGCCTGGGCCGCTCGCTGCAATATTGATGGCCCGTCAGGGCAGCCCTGATTCCTGCGCTTTCAGTTAAAAGGTTTCTGTTGTTGTAGCTTATGCAGTTGCTCTGTTGCTATGGAAACGTGACATCAAAATGACGTTTCCCGTTTAAAAGCTTTTAACTAAATTCCTGCCTGTCAGATGTAGGCCCCATTTTGAGCACGGAGCTGCCTTGCCGGAGTGGGGCTCCCGCCCTGTGCGCAGGCCCCAGGCCCCGCCTGAGCGCTTCTAACCCCGCAGGCGCCTCCAGCATGGCGGCGGCCGAGGGGCCCGGCTACCTCGTGTCCCCGCAGACGGAGAAGCACCGGCGAGCCCGCAACTGGACGGACGCCGAGATGCGCGGCCTCATGCTCGTCTGGGAGGAGTTCTTCGACGAGCTGAAGCAGACCAAGCGCAACGCCAAGGTGTACGAGAAGATGGCCAGCAAGCTGTTGGAGATGACGGGGGAGCGCCGGCTGGGCGAGGAGATCAAGATCAAGATCACCAACATGACCTTCCAGTACAGGTGGGCCCCGCGTGCCCCCCACGCTCCCTGCCTGGCGCTGCCCACCTGCGCCTGGGCCTCTGGGACCCGCTGGGGGGCCCCTTGGAGCCGAGTCAGGAAGGCCTCGTGTGGGCAGAGCCCGGCCGGTGAGATGGGGCCCTGCACAAACCTGTGTGCGGCCTCCTGTCACAGAGGTGGGAAACTGAGGCCCAGCTAGGGCAGGGCTGGTGCGATCCGCACCGTACCCCAGGCCCCTGCCTTGGGCGCCGCATGCAGGCGGCTCCTGCTTGGCCCACATGCAGGGAGGATGCAGGCCGGCTGCCCAGGTGTGGCTCTGCTAAGTAAGGTGCCTGCTGTCCAGACGGGAAAACCAAGGCCAGAGGCAAGAAGGAGGCTCAGCTCCCAGGCCTGCAAGTCCCACCTGGTGCTGACACGCTGCAATTTCCGGCAGCCAGTGCTGGCCACGGTCGGGGAGCAGGGTGCATAGTAGGGCTGATGTTGGAGCCCTGGAGCTCCCAGAAGGGCCTCACTCGTGGGAGGGGCCTTATTTGTGGAAAGAAACAATGGGGACCCAGGCCTGGCCCCCCCCACAGTCGCCACCCTACCCTGGCAGCCAGACAGGGGCTGCTGGGTCAGGGCCACAGATGGGGTTCCGGGGCAGGGGAGCTCTGCCGTCCGGGCGGGAAGACGTCCGGGTGCCCGGGGCCAGGCCTGCTGCAGACTCAGCACGTGCAGAGGCCCACAAGGCAGGGCAGAGCTCACCACTGTGCAGAGGTTGTTCTTGGGTGTGGCCAAGGTCACAGGTGTGGAGGGGGTTATGGGCATGCTGAGGGTCGCAGGCAGTGCGGGGGTCACGGGCAGTCCGGGATCTCCGGGATGAAGGTCTACCTGGAGCTGGGGGCTGTGGATGGAGAGCAGCAGTGAGCCAGGGGTGGCGTCAGGCGCGCAGGGCAGGGGTGCGCCTGTCAGTCACCCTGGGAGGGGCGCTGTCCCAGGAGGACTTGGAGGTGCCCAGCTGCTCGCAGCCTTGGCCGCCTCTGGGTGCTCCCCGTGGCTGCCGTGTGCAGGGAGGCAGAGGTGTAGGCCCTGCGGGCTGGGTGTAGACGGGACCTGGGGGTGCCCTCGCTCCCAGCAGTCGGCAAGGACCTAAGCCCTGCTCTCCTGGCCTGCCACTCCCAGCCCGTCTGGAGCCTGGGGGCGTGTGGAGGCCCCCGCAGAAGGCCTTGGACGCCCCAGGAGGGGGAGGTCCAGAGCCCAGGTCTGTCTGAAGGCCCGTTTCTGCCCACAGCCCCAGCTCCCAGGCAGGTGCAGGGGCCAGAAAGAGGCAGCTGCTAAGGGTCTGAAGGCATTGGTCACAACATAAACAATGTTACATTCCAGCCACCACCAGCTCCTGGTGTGAGTTATCTGTAGGTGTGCGTGTGTGTGTGTGTGTGTGTGCGTGCGTGCGCGCGCGCCCATCCCCGCCTCGTCCGTTCACACAGTGCATCCCTCTGTGCGTGGTGAGGGGGCCGCAGAGGCGTGTCCGACTGTTTTACCAGCTTCGCATCTGACTCAGTAATCCATGGGCTCTGATTGGTGTCTGGCCGACTTATTCATTATTTATCCTGAAAGCCTTCTTCAGAGTCCCAGGGGAGGCATTCTTTTCCGTTCCTGGAGGTGGGGACGGAGCCCGGGGCAGCCACACGAGACGAGTGCTCCAGACGCTGCAGTCTGTTACTGAGGGTGAGGGCTGCACACTGTACAATACTTCAGTTTCCTGTTCCCTGAGGGTGAAACTGAGGCCTAGAGCCAGCAGGGACTTGCCCAAGGCCACACAGCCTTTAATAGGCTAATGCATTGATTGGTTGACTGGTTGTTACCTGTGTCTTCTTACCCCCACCCAAAGAGCCTCCCACAGCAGTCTTTTCTTATTGTTTCACCATAGCTCTTTACATATTAAGGTTGTCAGGCTAAGGAAGCCTAAGGGGGTGCCTGGGCTCCATGGTCTCTTGGGATACCATTCAGGGGCCTCCTGTGCTGGGGCCAGGCCTTCCCTCATTTCTCCAAGGAGTAGCCTGGCTTGAGTGGTCAGAACAAGCATGGGGGCCTCCAGATGGGCTAGAGGGGAGCCAAGGCAGAGGCTGGGTATGGGCCCAGGCACGCTTCTCCACTTCCTGCCCTGAGTCTGCGCAGGCCTCCAGGGTGATGGACGGAAGTCCTGGAGTCAGGGACGGAGCAGCCATGCCTCCTGTGGGCCGCCCCTGGCTTTCTGCTGAGGACGCTGTGCATGCCACCTCCTGTGGCTGGCCTCTGCTTGCCACCCTGAGCCACAGGCCCCCTCGCCATGCCCCACTGTGCCTATTTGCTGCAGGGCAGCTCGCGCAGATGGTCAGCTCTGTTTCCAAAGACCAGTGTGACCGGGGGCCACACCCCAACAGGAACCCTGTGCCAGGAGACAGGAGCCATCTGGCCGCAGAGGTCTCTGTGGCTTGAGGGCCTCTCTACTTGGGAGGAGCAAGGGGCAGGAATGTGGAGGGCGCAGACTAGGGCCGGGTCTGACAGGGCAGCCAGCAGCCCTGCCCCCCGTCATGGGCTCCTTCCTGGCCTGGGCTCCCCGGCTCTCCTGCCGCTGTGTCTCCATCCCTGGCCTCCTAGAATCCAGCTGGAGCTGGGGACCTGCAAGCCCTCTCTGCAGGGAAGGACAGGACGCGGGGCGGGGCGGGGCTCCAGCCCACGGTGGGCAGAGCTGCGCTGTGGGCACCCATGGCGCCCTGCTGCCCCCTGTACCTTCAGCTGAGAATGTTATCAGGTCGGCTTGCTGTTTGCCGGGAACTGGGCGTTACCTTATTAAGCCCTCCCTACAGCTTGTGAGGAGCTTCCTTGGCTCATCCCCATTTTACTGATGTGAAAATGGAGGCTCAGAGAGGTTAATGAACCTGCCCAAGGTCACAGTGCAAAGTGGTGGAGATGAGACGCAGCCCAGATCTATCAGACACCACAGCCTGTGCTCGTCCGCTCTCACTTCGAAGGCATTCTCTTTGGAAAAACACGCGTCTTACGTTGTGACATTTACGCTTATATAATGCTTATAATATTCGTTCTACGTCCGTATGTGTTCTTGTTGCAGGCTCCTACTTAGGAGCAGTGCTCGTTCATTGCAGGGAGCTTAGAAACTACAGAAAAGCAGGACAGGAACGGTACACAACAGCCCGAGGCCCCAGCACTCACAAACGACCTTATTCACCCTTGGGGCCTGTGCTTCTTGGTAGCACCCACGGCGGGGTAGCCCCTAGGTTTTCTTTCCACGTTTAACAGCACCTGGGCCCTGGAGCCTGGCCAGGTTTACTGGGGAGGCCGTCTGGCGAGTGGCCCCAGCGCCCCCGAGCACCCCTCTGCCGAGGGCCAGGCAGGACGGGCAGGGAGCAGCTCATTTCTCACCCTTGGCTCTTGTGTCTCTCGTTTCAGGAAATTAAAATGCATGACAGATAGCGAGTCCGTCCCGCCCGACTGGCCCTATTACCTAGCCATTGATAGGATTCTGGCCAAGGTCCCCGAGTCCTGTGATGGCAAACTGCCGGACAGCCAGCAGCCGGGGCCCTCCACGTCCCAGACCGAGGCGTCCCTGTCGCCGTCTGCTAAGTCCGCCCCTCTGTACTTACCGTATAACCAGTGCTCCTACGAAGGCCGCTTCCGGGACGATCGCTCCGACACCTCCTCCAGCTTACTGTCCCTTAAGTTCAGGTAGTGTGTCTTCCCTCCCTGTCCCCACCCCCACAGGGGCCAGGGGCCCGGCCGGCCAGGGAAGGGGCTGGGCACCGTGAGGGCCGGCGGTCCTCTGCCATCTCTGGCTAGCTGCAGCGGGCTAGGTGGGATGCAAGTGCTTCCAGGGCCAGAGAGGCCTCAGAGCAGGCTGGCCTCAGACGGGGAGGCCTCACACAGGGAGGCTGGCCTCAGACGGGGAGGCTGGCCTCACACAGGGAGGCCTCAGACGGGGAGGGCTCAGACCAGAGAGGCTTCAGACCAGGCTGGCCTCAGACAGGAGGCTTCACACAGGGAAGTGTCAGGGAGGCAGGCGGTACTGAAGCACAGGCCGTCCTGTCCATAATCTGGGTTCATCTGGCTCCATCAATTCCTAGTTGTGTGGAAAGTCCTTGACCTCTCTGGGCCTTAGTCTCCCTCTGTAAAATGGGGATAAATCAGTATCTTCTCCAAGGATGGATGTGAGTGTCAGAAGAGAGAGCAGACTCAGGTGTGGGAGGGAGACCAGGTGCCCCCCAGGTTCTGGCTTCCGGGCTCCCCCTCACCCCAAGCAGACCCTGCCCTGGGGCTCCTCCCTACCCTTGCTCTCAGTGCCAGGGAGGAGTATTGAGCGGAGCCTCCCGAGTGTGCTTAGAAAGGGGTTCAGCGGGCATGCCGGTCCCCCCTGCTGTCCCTCACAGACTCCCTGCTAGGCCAGCACTGGCCACCTGAGCCTGCCCTCAGGATGCCCACACACAGACGGGAGACGCGCCTGTCACGCGGAGGCCTGGGGGACCAGAGGAGGGGGCCTTTGGGGTGGATTCTCGAGAGTGGATAGGAGTCGGCCAGTTGGGGAAGAAAATGGGAGGAATGTAGGTGTGAGTCACGGCCCTGCCTCTCCCCCCAGCCCTGGCCTTGGCCTTTAGGTCTGCCCGACAGGGTGATAGGAGGGGTGTCTGTTCTGTGTGTCCAGCGCCCCTTCCCCGGAGGGACTTCTCAGCAAAGACCCCAGATAAAAATGCTTCTGTGGACGGCCAGACGGGAGTAGCTGGGAAGCCTGAGATTTTTGGCCCATGTCTGGCCAGTTCCCAGACTCCCCACTGCCCCGGACCTGCCCCGGACACACGTGGGACCCTCTCCCCTGCCCCTGAGGTCCCCTAGGGCATCGCTCTGCTGCGAAGCATGGGGCCCGGGCTAGGGGACCCGCGAGGCCTTGGGGGCTGGTGGGGTTGGCCAGTTAGGCCAGGGATGCTTGCTACCCCCACGGCGGAGGGCACAGGGCGTGACCGTGGCCACCCTCACCTCCCTGTGCACCAGAGGCTCCAGTGCCCGGGAAGGAGCCCGCACCCCCTCCCACCTGGCCTTCCTCATCTCTCCCCCACCCCCCGCAGCCTCTACCCCTGAGCCACCCCCCCAACCCAGGCCGCGGGGGTCTGGATGGTCCCGTGACTCAGGTCACAGGCAGTGCCCATGGCTCAGCAACACCCCCCCCCGAGGCAGGCAGGAGGGGCAGGCGGGGGGGCGGGTGCCCCAGGGCCGGTGTGCGTGCACGACCCCCGTCCACACGCCGGCCCTGTGCTTCCAGGTCGGACGCGCGGCCGGTGAAGAAGCGCAAGGTGCAGAGCCACCACCTGCAAAGGAAGAAGCTGCGGCTGCTGGAGGCCATGCTGGAGGAGCAGCGCAGGCTGGGCCGCGCCCTGGAAGACGCGTGCCAGGAGGTGCGCCGCGTGCTGGACCGCCAGAACCTGCTGCAGGTGCAGGGCCTGCAGCTGCAGGAGCGCATGATGAGCCTGCTGGAGAAGATGGTCGCCAGGCCCCCCGTCTAGGCCCCCGCGCCCACGGGGAGCGCCCCGGGCGCCCTGGCCGCCGCCGCCCCAGAGCCTCCGGAGAGTCCGTCCTCCCGTGCAGCCACTGTCCGTGGTACTGGAAGTGGCTTTTGATATTAAACGTGTGGTTTCTCGTTCCCCCCGGAAGTCACTTGCACAGCTCACAGGGAGCGCGCCAGGCCGGTCGGCTCCAAAACCAGAAGCAACTGGAAACAGGGTTGGTGGCGGGTCTGTGCCCGTAACGGAAGCTCTCAGAGGGGAGACGGCTGTCCTTGCCCTCACCGGGGTCTGCTGCGTGCAGACCGCAGAGCCCACCCGCAGAGCCGGCGGCCCCCACGGCCCTCTTCCCGGGGCGTCGGGCCTCCCCCCGAGGACACCGCCGAAGCAGCGACGGCTGTCCACGCCGCTCAGTGCACACCAGGCCGCTCGGTTTTCCAGGCCCAGGGACGCCGTGCTGGCAGACGGGCACTTCGCACTCCAGGCGGAGAGGCAAACGAGTGAAGAAGGAAATGACCTGATAGATTGTGGTCAGCACTGGACGGGAAGGGCTGGCCCTGAGCGTGGGGAAGCCCGCGCGCAAACAGCCAACAGAAGCAACCAGACTGCAGGAGCCCCACACAGCGCAGCCAGCCCTCGGAGGCACAGGGAGCTTTTGGGTGCTATGCGGGCTCTGGTGCTCCAGGCCTGGACCCGAGGTGCAGGGATGAGCGGGGTGACCGCGTGCAGAGCTGCAGGGTAGAGCTCACCTCCCACCTTTGCCCTTTCGCCACCAGGAAGGCCTGTCCACACGCTTCCCTGCTAAATTGCTCCAAAGTCTTGTTGGCTCCTTGGGCGTTTGGTCCCTGGCTGCACAGGGTGCTGGGCACAGGACTGCGTGGCTCCCCGCTGGGACCGGCGTGTCGCTGTCCTCACAGCAGGGCCCTGAGGAGATGCAGCAGGGCCACAGCTTCACTTACTGTCTAGAAGGGCTCCTTCTGGCTGCTCCTGGTGGGGGTGGGTGAAAGCAGACGTCCTGCCAGGAGGCTGTCACTGTCATTTTGGTGTGACAGCGACCAGCTCATCCAAAGTCGTGGTCGCCATGGTGGCGCGGAGGCCAGCCCTGGGCCCCACTGCGATGAGGGAGACGCTGGGTGTTCCGTGGAGCCCAGAGAGCAGAGCCAGATAGGCGGGACGCCCCTGCTCAGCCTCCTCGGGGACCTCACTCACGCGTGCTGTGGACTCAGACCGTGTTGCTCTGGGGCTGAAGGCAGCGGCTCGTCTGCTGAACGTTAACAGGCGGCTCTGCTGAAGTGCAAACTTGGCCAGTTTCCACGGCGCCTGTGTTCCCACCAAGCCCAGGTCAGCTGCCGGCATGACATCCCCGGACACGTGTGGGGAAGGAAGCCCTGCATGGCGCAGGCCCCCGTGCCCCCGTGGCAGAGGGGAACCCGGGGGGTCTCATGCCGGAGACCCGAATGGGGGGCTGGCCCACGGGAACGCACCTGCCTCTGAGATGAGACCCCACCAGGAGAGCTCGGCTGTTCCACAGGCACCGACGATGGAACCCCATCAGAGCAGCCGCGTGGAGGGGCGCCCGAGGTGGCCCCAAAGTTGGGCGGGAGACCCCTCCCCTTACACATCTCTGTGGTCCTGGCACCGTGCTTGTGGTGCGTTGCTGCGTGGGTATCGGGCAGCAGTTTTGCGTTCGTGTCTAGAGTGGCCCACGATTTTCCCAGCTCGCTTTCTGGGGGGTCAGTGCTGTGTCTGCGTCTTGCCGAGTGGGCACACTGCCCACCCGTCCCTGGGGCGGGAGCGGAAGCCGGCCCGTCGGTGGGACTCAGCTGTAGGGCCGCCTGGGCTGCACCCTTCCTGAACAGCGGGCCCTCGGCGAGTCTCTCATTCCTTCTGTAGTTCGGTCCTTGAAGGGGGCAAAACGGCTGTGTCCATAAACGCTAGGCCATGTGACAAATTCAGCAAAACAACACATTAACACTGAAAACAAGTCAGGGACCAGACGCTTGTTTGCTTTCACCATTACTGTTTAACGTCGATGCTTACAGCTGGTGCATTAAGTCAAAACGAGCAGGATGAAAGATGAAATGAAGAGATGAAAATTACCTTTATTTTCAGATAATATTTTTATATACCCAGAAAGCCAGATAATACAGAAGATGAAGAGCTCTGTAAGCACCTTGAACCTGGGGCCTCCAAGACCAGAGCATTCCATGCACCATCACGATCGAGAACTATAGGAAATCTCTCAATGAGTTTCACCAGAAAGGTGCGGGATGGACAGAAAGAAAACTGTGGTTTTACTGTTAAATCTAAAACAATTCCTGAGCACGCCGGGAAACGGCATACCCCTAAAAGCTCCAAGATAAAGTGTCATCATTTTATTAGTATTATTCCAGCTGTATTTTCAATAACACTGTGGTTTTCTGTTTGTTTTGAAACGGAAGAAAGTAGTTTTAAGTTCATATGAAAACGGAGAGGGGCAAAGGGCCTGAGGCCAGAGACTGTGAAGAGACACGCTCAGCCTCAGTGATGCAGAATAAAACCCGAGCGTGCCTTCCGTCAGTGGTAGAAGCTGGGAAAACTCAGAGCCTGGGAAGGGCAGTGGGAACTGGTACCAAGCCCCAGGAGCAGCTGGGCCTCATCGGCAAAGCAGAGGCCACACAGGCCGGCCGTGGGCCAGCGCTCTCAGGGGCCTCCACGCACGAGTGATTGAGGGCGTCAGAGCTCTGTCCCTGTGCCTTCTAACCACCAGCATCAGCACCTCATACGTTAGCTTATTAGAAATCAGACCTGAGACTCAAGAATTTAGTCTTGAAATAACGATAAACCCATAACACGCTAACATAAATAACAATTGGGTGAAAAATGTATTCTCCCAAACAAAAGGTTTTAGCGAGAAGAGTGGCGTTGTGTCACATACCCTCAAATCTGTGGCCTGAGAGAAGCGGACTCTGCACCCTGTCTGCTGCGGGATGTGGCTTGGCTGTGAGTGTGCGGGCGTCCACGGAAAATCCAGTGTCACGCGGATGGGTGTTTGAAAAAGAAAGGGATCTTCTTCTTCTGTTTATTTTGAGAGAGAGAAAGAACATGAGCAGAGGAGGGGCTCATGAGACAGAGAGGGAGAGAGAATCCGAAAGGGCTTTGTGTTATCAGTGCAGAACCCGATACGAGGCTCAAACCCACGAACCGTGAGATCATGACCTGAGCCGAAATCAAGAGTCAGATGCTCAACCGGCTGATCCCCCAGGCGGCCAGTAAAAAAAGTGGATCTCCTAATAATGTGTGTGGACCACCATGGACGTCCTTTGCCAGCGGGGCCCCCCAGCGCAGGCTTGTGGCCACGCGGGGTCAGCATTCCGCGGGCTGTAGGGCCATGTCGCACCAGCAGCCCTCCATCCATCTGCAGATCATTGTTCACCGTGCTTCCGTAACGCCGCATGTTGGGCGTTTGGAAAATTCTGGCTCACCGAGCTGTACCTGTCAGAAAACTCACTTTTGTCACCATCTCGGTCAGGCTCACAGCGAAGCCTTTGCCTGCGGGAGGTGAGGCTCGTGGCAGCGGATGGGAGTCTCTCAACGTTCTGGCCTTGGCGAGAAAGCTGGACGTTTCCATGGGTCACCATGTGAGTTGGTTTCCTTTTGAAGGATCGGCTCCCTTTGTTCATTTCCAAGAGAATGTCCCCCAGGTGCCCACATCCTTCCCTCAAGTGAAGGTGGACTTCCAGCAAGAAATGTTTTCAGCTGTATTTCGGCTGGCAGCTGGAACATTCCTCAGGCGCTTCTCCCAGATGTCATCCCACGAGGGGCGGACAGGAGTGTGTCACACGTCTTGTCTGTATGTCACAGAAATATTAAAAGGGCCCAGATTTAATAAAATTGAGTAATTTCTTACTGCCTCATCACGGTCACTCTTCAGGGAAATTGGTGTTTTCCGCGGAGAGCACGTGGCGGGAAGGACACAGGCCCGAGCCCGGGGCTTGGCGGCCGCCCTGATTCTTACTGAGAACCCAGCCGTTGGACCCGCGCTGCAGATGCCAACACGCCGAAGACTCCAGGGGACATTTTTCTTTCGTAATAATGGAGAATAATCTGGGCCTCAGGGACCGCAGTCCAGACCACGGTCCGGGAACTGTCCGAGGGAGGCCGGCCAGGGCCTGGGAAGGTCCTGGGAAGCTCCTGAGTGCCGCCCATCGGGGCAGGCGTGGGGAGGTGGGCCGCGGCCTGTGTGTGCCCTCTCGCACCCGACAGTCCCACGGGCGTGCCCCCAAGAGCGCCGGGGAGGCCCTGCTCCCCTCCCCCTAAGAGCGGCTCTGACTGTGCGGTGTGCCCGGAGCAGGGGCGTAGTTGGGTGTAAATCAGATCAGAATCCCTGTTCTCACGGGCGGGGGTGGGGGGGACGGGAAGACACCCTAACAGACAAGGTGGGGAGCACCTCAGAGAGTAGTGGCCGAGGGGCCTCGGGATCGGGACGCGCCCGAGAGGAAGCCTCCTGCACGCGGGCTGGCCAGGCTGGGCCGGGTTCCGAGGCGGGAGCCCACGTGTTCCCACCAGGGAGGCAGTGTGGACGTGACCGTCAGGTCCCCACCGGGGACCCCCAGGCAGCGGCCGAGTCAGCTGCCGTTGCCAGGCTCTGAGTCCCCCAACGGCCCCAGAACCACCTTCCCTTCCAAAACGGAAGCCCCGACATGTGCCGAGGGTGGACCCCTGGCGCGTGTCCGTTTAGTTTCCGAAACGGGAGTCCGAGCGGCGGCAGCGGGTCCGGCAGCTTGTCGGGCGGAGAGCCTCCCATAGGAGGCGTGCTGACGAGCGGCCACAGCCAGCACGTCCCTCCCGGGCAGTATCAGTCCCCTGCTCTGTGCCACTGCGCTCTTCAGGGACCTCCACCGTCTGGCCGTCCCCGAGAGCCGCGTGGTCACCAGCACTGGTCACAGCGGGGGGAGCGGGGGTGCCCGGGCCTCATGAGGAAGCACACGTGCATGTCAGAAGAGGAGGGAGGAGAGACTCCGGGAGGGT